TCAAGGCAAAGAATACCAGAAAGATGTTTACTTGTGTTTTATTGACTATGCAAAAGCATTTGATTGTGTGGATCATGACAAATTGTGGATAACATTGAGAAGAATGGGAATTCCCGAACACTTAGTTGTACTCATGAGGAACCTGTACCTTGACCAGGAGGTTGTCGTTCGAATGGAACAAGGGAACACTACATGGTTTAAAATCAGGAAGGGAGTGCGTCAGGGTTGTATCCTTTTCCCATACTTATTCAATTTATATGCTAAACAAATAATCTGAGAAGCTGGACTATATGAAGAAAAAGGTGGTATCAGGATTGGAGGAAGAATCATTAACAACCTGAGATACGCAGACGATACATCTTTGCTTGCTGAAAGTGAGGATGACTTGAGTCACTTACTGATGAAGATTGAAGAATAGTCTGCAGTATGGATTAAGTCTCAATAAGGAAAACAAAAATCCTCAGTTTTTGTTTGACTGGACCAATGAGCAGCCTCACAATAAAAGGAGAGAAGATTGAGGTTGTCAAAGGGTTCACGTTGCTTGGTTCTACAATTGATGCTGATGGAAGCAGCAGTCAGGACATTAGATGATGTGTAGCATTGGGAAAGTCAACCGCGGAGGAACTGTTTCAAGTGCTGAGGAGCAAGGATGTCTCCTTGAGGACTAAGGTGCACCCAACACAAGCTATGGTATTTGTAGTCGCCTATATGCATGTGAGAGCTGGACAGTGAGTAAAGATGGAAGAAGAATTGATGCTTTTGAGCTGTGGTTTTGGCAAAGAATGCTGAAAGGACCGTGGACTGCTAAAAGAACTAACAGGTCTGTGCTGGAGGAGGTGCAGCTAGAATGCTCCTTGGAGGTGAGAATGGCCAGACTTTGTCTTACATACTGTGGTCATGTTGTCAGAAGGGACCATTCCCTGGATAAAAATGTCATGCTTGGTAAGGTGGAGGGTTGATGAAAGAGTGGAAGGCCCTCAATGAGATGGATTGACACGATGGCAGCGGCAATGGGCTCAAGTACAGCAAAAATCATGTAGCTGGCTCGGGACCAGGCGGTGTTTTGTTCTGCTATGCATAGGGTCACTATGAGTCAGAGACAACTTGACGGCACCTAATGACAGCAGTGACTAATGGAAGGAGCTCTGGTGGCATAGTGCCTGAGGCATTTGACTGCTAACTAGAAGTCTGGTGGTTCAAACCCACCAGCCACTCTTCAGAAGGAAGGTTGAGCAATCTACTTCTGTAGTGATATCGCCTTGGAAACCCAAGGAGAGGTCACTGTGAGTAGGATCCAACTTGATGGCAGTGAGTTTTTTAGTGAGTAATGAGTAATGGAAGGATCTGTGGTAGGGTAATGGGTAAGGCATTTGTCTGTTAACCAAACCACCAGGTGTTCCATAGGAGGAAGATGACTAATCTACTTCCGTAAAGATTTGCAGCCTTAGAAACCCAATGGGGTCTCTATGAGTCAGAATTGACTCGATGGCAGTGGGTAATGACTAATGGACGTGTTTTCATATGCTTATGGGCTATTTGTGTATCTTTTTCAGAGAAATATCTATTTATGTCCTTTGCCCATTTTTTTTTTTTGTTGGGTTGTTTGTCTTTTTGTGGTTGAGTATAGTTCTTCATGTAAGCTACATATTATAATCTTATCAGATATGCGGTTCCCAAGTATATTCTCCTATTCTGTAGGTTGTCTTTTCATTTTCTTTATAAAGTCCTTCGATGCACAAAATCTTTTAACTGTGATAAAGTCCAATTTATCTGCTTTTTTTTGTTGCTTGTTCTTTTAATGTCATATCTAAGAATCCACTCTCCAAAACAAGGTCCTAAAGTTTTACCCTTATATTTTCTTCTAAAAATTTTATGGTGTTAGCTGTTATTTTTATGTCATTTCTCCATATTAACTTCATTTTCATATATAATGTGAAGTATGGGTTAACTTCACTTATTTGCATGTGGAGATACAGTTGTCCCAGCACCATTTGTTAAAGAGACTGTTCTTTCCTCATTGAGGAACTTGGCACCCTTGTCAAATGTCTGTTGTCCACATACATTTGGTTTTTTTAATGGACTCTTAGTTCTACCCCATTGTCTTATATGCTTTTCCTTGCACCAGTATCATATTGTTTGATTACTATAGTTCTGTAGTACATTTTGAACTGGTAATGTGAGTACTACTTTCTTACTCTTTTAAAAGATTGTTCTGACTATTTTGGGCCTCTTGCATTTGCATATGAACTTGAGGATTGGCTTTTTCATTTCTGAAAAAGAAAATGTGAAATTTTGATAAAGATGGCATTGAATCAGTAGATTGATTTGGGTAGTATTGATGTTTTAACAATATTAAGTCTACCAATCAGTGAACACAGGATGTGTTTTCCAGTACAGTGTTGAACAGCAGTGGTGAAAGTGAGCATTCTTGTCTTGTTCCTGATCTAAAAGGGGAAATGGGAAAGCTTTTCATCTTTCTCCATTAAATATGATGATAGCTATGGGATTTTCATAAATATCCTTTATCTTGTGAATTTCTTTTCCATTCCTAGTTCAGTGAATGTTTTAATCATGAAGCTGTGTTTAATTTTGTCATAATACCTTTTCCATATCAATTAAGGTGATCATGTTTTTCTTTTCTTTCATTCCTTCATTCTGTCTGTGTCACTTGTCTGCCTATTCCTCCATCTTACCAGAAGTCTAAGATGAGTGTGTTTTGGGGGAGAGGATCAAGGACTTAATTTTGGACATTAGAAAGAATTGTATAAAATAACACAGTTAATCTAAAAATTATATATTTTTCCGTTTCATAGAAGTAGATATCTCAAACAGCACATGGAGTTAGATTGAGTTTATTCAAATTCGTTATAACTAGCAGTAAGTTCTTATTTCAGAAGGTGGCTGACCTAAATATACATTTTTTTAGAATTCCTTATATTTATACACAATTTTTAATTATGAAAAGTACTTTTTGTGTCATTTGTTTGTATTTCATTCTCACCTAACTCCATAAAGTATATAGGTCAGTTATGAATCCCATTTTATAGATGAGGAAGGAAATCTAGAGGATTCATTTGAATTGCCCACAGTCATATATGAAATTAAAGGGAGAGCAGAAAGAAAATATCTACTTATTCTCCATCGGACAAGTTTTTTCACTCTCTTACAGAAACTATGGTAATAGAATTCTATGTTACTTTTAAATGAATTTTGATTTGTGAGAGCAGTTTACATTTTTAGGAATATATCTAATACTAAATTTGCTGACAGAGGAATTATAAAACTCTTTCAGCTAAAATCTCCTTTGCCCTGAAAGTCAACACATTAGTTAATAAGTATAATATATAAAGCAAATTACAAGCACATAGTCACATAAATGAACCATTTACTTCAGTCTCCAGAGAAAAGGAATAAAAAAAAAAAAAAATGCAGCCACTGCCATGGAGTCAGATCCAACTCATAGTGACCCCTTTTTGGGTTTCCAAGGCAGTATCACTACAGAAGTAGATTGCCCATCCTTCCTTCCAAGGAGTGTCTGATGGGTTGGAACCACCAGTCTTCTGGTTAGCCATCAAATGCCTTAGGCACAATGCCACCAGAGCTAGTTCTGGGTTTTGACTCTGACAATTGGTAGTCACATTTCCATTGTTGTTGTTGTTATGTGCAGTGGAGTCAGACCTGACTCATAGTGACCCCTTCTTGGGTTTCCGAGGCAGTATCACTATGGAAGTAGGCTGCCCAACCTTCCTTCCAAGGAGTGGCTGGTGAGTTTGAATAGCCAGCGTTCTGATTGGCAGTCAAGTGCCTTAGGCACTACACTACCAAAGCTCCTATATTTCCATTAGGCCTTGCTAATCTCATCTTTAAAATGAAAATAATGAAACCTTTTTTGACTTTAAAGTGCTTTGAATACTTCAGTGCTACTTAAATATAGTGAAGCAACTAGGGGGAAAAAAATCCTTGGTTAAAGTAGAAGTATCTACTTTATCAACCTTGAAAAAGTTTCAGTGTCTGTGAATTAAGATTTGAAATCTATAATTTTTTTAGATTGAATCTATTTTTTTTTAAGTAGATATAAAATGATGTGATTTTTTTCCCCCCAGGACACGATGATACCTTTTTTGCTTTTGTAAAGATACAGTGTTTTCTAGAACCTGGGTACTAACTGATTTAAAAAAAAAAAAAACGCACTGCCATCGAGTGGGATCCAACTCATAGTGACATCTCCTTGGGTTTCCATTGCAGTATGGCTATGGAAGTAGATTGCTCAATCTTCCCTCTGAGGAATGGCTGGTGGGTTTGAACCTCCAGACTTCTGGTTAGCAGTCAGATGCCTTAGGTACTATATCACCAGAGCTCCTGGGTACTGACTGATAGTATTGATTGATAGTATCTTTTTATTTAATCAGCATTCTGTTTTCTTTCAGGAATGAAGAAACCCAGTTCTCTGGAGAAGAAGAACTTTCAAAGACTTCCATTAGTAAGTAGAGCCCGAGTTCCAATTATTACTTTGCCTCCTGCTGATGGACCACCTGACTTAGACTCTTGCTCATATGTGATCAACTGTGACACACAGGAGTCCTCTGATTCACCTAAATTCAACTTGTGGGAAGAGTCAGCATTTCCATCTTTTAACTTTGAGCCTGAGGACCAAAGTGAAGCTTTTTTCTTTGAAGACTCTGAGGAAGAGACCCCAGGGGGCCTTTCGCTTCTCAATAATGTATCTACTGAAAGCAAATGGCTGAAATATCAGAGCACACCCCAGTGCAACTTGACTACATTAGATAAAGTTGATAAGAAAGTAAGAGATGTCTTCTTTGCTGAGGCTATTTCAAGAATGCATTTTAGTGACACAGGCGAAAGGCAGAGTGATGCTATGAATAAAAGCTCTTTAGACTCTTTGCATTTGCAAATGATGAAAGGCATGCTCTATCAGCAGCAGCAGAAATTTAGCAGTCAAGATTTGATTTCCAGAAATACAGCACTTTCTCTGAATTTAGAGCAGACTTTCAAGACTGAAGAAATTCAAACTATGTTAGGAGAGTCTGCCTACTACAGCTGCAGTATAACAAGTAATGTACAGGTGAGGAAATGTACTGGTGTTTTTTGGTACATTTTTTCTAATTGTTATTTTCTAAATTTCAACAAAAGAATTACTAAAATAGTAGAGAAGCAATGATTTCACTCTTAGAGCACATGCCTTTTTTGTCTCAGAACTCTAGCTATAATTATATCATTTCCTTTGACTTTAAATCTTTCCTAATAGCTGTGAACATTAGATAAAATTATATATTTGAAAGTATCTGATACAACATCTAGCACATAATAACCAAAACCAAACTCACTGCCATCAAGTTGATTCCAACTAGCCTGTAGGGTTTCAAAGGCTGTAAATATTTATGGAAGCAGGCTGCCACATCTTTTTCCATGTAGCATCTAGTAGGTTCAAACCACCAACCTTTCAGTTAATAGCCAGGTGCTTATCCATTCTGCCACTAGGGCTCCTGCCACTCTTGCCCCCCTGAGCTGTCTCCCTGTGCATAAATAGCCCTTCTATTCTCCTATGATTGTTCTCTCCAAGGAATGTATCTACCTCAGGTAAATGTTCAACTCATATGCCTGTCTTTTGTTTGGCTGGAAGCCACAGGTGTGGGTTCAATTCCAGACCAAAAAGCCAGCTAGGTAGCTTATTATTAACACATAATAGGTAGACTTATTATTATATCTCCTATCCCTGTTTCTACTTCTACTACTATGATTGTTTTCATTTTTCACTATCAGTTCAGTTTTGCTGATCAGAAAATTTCTAGGGTGAAAGGGGATCTTATTACACTTTGGTTGAAAGTAATTCTTGTTATAGTTATAACCATAAATAGAGAAGCATAATGATCTATTCATACCAGTTAAGTTTTTCATAGCAAAAAGTATTTAAAAACTCAGTAAGGCGAAGACAAGAAAAGATAGTCTCATTTAGAATTAAATGTGCTGTGCATAGTCATTCTTGCTGTACTTGGTTTCTCATTTGAAATTAGGAAATGATTTTCAAGGATTCTAGAAATCAAAAGAAAAATCAGTATATCTAATTAAACATGTCTATAGATATTAATTTACTTATTAGTAAACAGTATTTTTTGGTGTTATTATAATTACTTGAATTATTCCTTTTCAGGAGATAAATGCCTCTGAGCTATCATTCCCAAGTGGGCAGAAAATAAAATCTGTTTATCTTCCTCAAAGGCAAATTCACATACCAGCTGTTTTTCAGTCTCCTGCTCATTATAAGCAGATTTTTACATCTTGCCTCATAGGTATGACTGGTATCTTTTTATTTTGATTGACTACTGCTTAATGTAAGTAGTGTAGCAGTGAAAAAGTATAATATATTGTGAATTTTCCTATTAAATCTTCCAGTTGGGGCTTATTGCTTTTTATATGTTTATTCCAATTTCTGACAGTAATTGAGATTAATCTCAGATCATAATTGAGTTTTAAACATGGGAAATGATAATTTTTTTAAATTGTGATTTGGATGAAAGTTTATAGAGCAAATTCACTTTCCATGCAGCAGTTCACATACACTTTGTCTCATAACATTGACTGCAATTTACCACAGTGCAACAGCCCCCCTCCCACTTCCTCCCAATAGTTACCTCTTCCCTATGTCCATCCCTCCGTGCATTCTTGCCCCCCTGAGCTGTCTCCCTGTGCATAAGCAGCCCTTATTTCTCCAATGATGTTCTCTCCAAGGAGTGTATCTACCTCAGGTAAATGTTCAACTCATATGCCTGTCTTTTGTTTGGCTGGAA